ATGTCAACCAGGATTAAATATCAGTAAATCATTGCAGAAATCAACTGACCAATCAGAGCATGCTTCCAGAACAGTTCAGGATGGTTGATAAATCAATTTCAAAGTTTGTAGAGGTTAATTAACAACTAAATATATGAAGTCTTATTTAGAATTTAATTAACAACTAAATATATGAAGTCTTATTTAGAATTTTTCATACTATCATATGATAGAATTAAAAACTTAAAACAATTATTGATACTAACAAGAAATTTTTGTAATATTACTAGTGTGTTTGGTAGAAATGATTTACACATTGTTCAGACAAATTAATGATGGTCATGTCAGGGTAGCTTCATCTCACATCCCAGATGGTAATGAGCCAGTCAGGAGCTTATGATGTGTGTAACCAAAAGTGGCTTGTGCTATTACTGATAACATTTTCTTTGGATTTTGCCTTACACTATGTATCTAGTAATGGTTCCATGCCTGGGAATAAGCCTACTGATAACTTCTGCTGAAGAATAATTACTATATTTATCCAGTAATATGTCTGGTAATAAGCCCACTGCTAACTTCTGCTGTAGAATTATTACTATATTTATCCAGTAATATGCCCATGTCTGGTAATAAGCCCACTGCTAACTTCTGCTGTAGAATTATTACTTTATTTATCTAGTAATATGTCTCTGCCTGGTAATAAGCCCACTGCTAACTTCTGCTGTAGAATTATTACTTTATTTATCTAGTAATATGTCTCTGCCTGGTAATAAGCCCACTGCTAACTTCTGCTGTAGAATTATTACTTTATTTATCTAGTAATATGTCTCTGCCTGGTAATAAGCCCACTGCTAACTTCTGCTGTAGAATTATTACTTTATTTATCTAGTAATATGTCTCTGCCTGGTAATAAGCCCACTGCTAACTTCTGCTGTAGAATTATTACTATATTTATCCAGTAATATGTCTGGTAATAAGCCCACCGCTAACTTCTGATGTAGAATTATTACCATTATCCAGTAATAAGTCCATGCCTGGTAATAAGCCCACTGCTAACTTCTGCTGTAGAATTATTACTATATTTATCCAGTAATATGCCTGGTAATAAGTAATAGTAGTGCTAATTTAGTGATATGGCAATGTAATGATTTAGTGATATTAGATTGCACTAATTCAGTGATAATGGATTGTGGTAATTTGGTGATATTCGATTGTGGTAACTTAGTATTACTGGAATGTAATATTTCTTTTTTATGTGACTCTGGCAGTATTTAAGTGATATAGTTGGTCCTGATTGATTCAGAATTGTTCATTCATTCCACTCTGTTTCCTAGGTTGATTGACCGGTATACAAACTGATAAAGAATTGAGCTTCAGATTGTAGGGTCAAGCCCTATTGGACATTAACAGAGTGTGGCAGGTTAAAAGTTCATGTAAACATTCTTCATTACCTTGTCAATCATAGATATTACTCTAAGTGTGAGCTTCAATGTAGAAGGTATTTCTTTTGCAGGTTTGCAGTGTCCATGTGATGTTTTTGTATGAACAAATGGTCTTGATTGACACAGCAGGGATACAAAAACAGCTGATGAGTTGGTCATTATCAAACATGGGAATGTCATTTTTTTTAATTGAAATTTAAGAATATTAAGCATTGCTCATTGTTGACAAGTTTTATATATGAATGGACATTATTGTTTGACTTCTGTGATCTGTGTTTTGTGACATTCTAAAATAAGTTTTTACAGACCGTTGTGATTGTATATATGGCCTCTAAACATATGTAGTAAGAATTACTTTTGATGTAAAAAAAAAAAAAAAGAGGCACAAGTGGCTATTTTAGACAGAAGGTCACATGATATAGTTGTACAGGTTTTACCATTTAAATAAGTACTGATCTAAACTTGTGATCAAGCATCTCTTTTGGTTTGTTAGGGGGTAAGGAAAATCTCTTTATATCATAGTTACATTTTCTTTTCTGATTTTAAATAGATTCTTCAGAATTATATGTACTATATAAATTTGCTGTTCTTATTATTAATACACACTGAGAGATGCAATATTTTGAGTCAGCTAGGCTGGATTTTGATGAAACATCAATGTCATTTGAAGTGAATTTGTTCTAGAGGTATGTGTATGTTACTATGTGCTATGTTAGGATTTACCATGATTATATCACACAGTAAGCACATGTCTGGTAATAAGCCCACCCATATCTATTACTGTTTAGTGGAATTATTTCTGATTGCAAGACAAATATAGCTGACACAATTGATTCAGTTTTAACTCCATCTTTGTCTTTGCTTGAAATCTGTTTCTAGGTCATATTTACTTCTTATCAATGTCAATTTTGACATTTCACATTTGCTTACAATTTGTTGATCCTAACAATGAAAACACATAATAAAAGAAAGAGGCAGTCCTCCACGACTTCAACACAACTGTAAAATGACATAATTTATTCCCAAAGGATTATGGGATTTTTGTTATTTACGGTTGACGGTTGTAATTTATTGGAAGTGCTAAAGCATGACTGCAGTTGACATTGTAATGAACTAGATAACCTTTTACATGGCGACAGTATGTCTTATAAGTTAATACATAATATATAGGGTTTCATGGTTTATTAAACTAATTGGGAAACCTGAGGAGCTCTATTTAAAGAAACCCTGTCATAGAAAATGTTCATTTTCAGTGGAATTTTCGCTTGTGACCATTTTTTAAGCAGCATTTCCTGATGAGTCTCGACTTGAAAACTATGTTGTATTAAATGTATTAAACAATTTTTTAAGCGGATGTCAGTTTAGTGGAAGAATTAAATTAATTAAATTAATTGACATACTATGAATACAAGTGCAAGATTATGTTTTTACATACTTACTGTTTTGGTAGGGACAAAAATTGTCAATCTCCAAGAGACCAACTACATACAGTTCAGATGGAACATCACAATTCATGAAAAAAAATGTGACATTGTTCATTATAAGATTATCATTTGCCTTCCAATTGTCATCAATTTTCACACATAGAATCTAGTCTTATAATTCAAATAAGTATGCAAGCCCAAGATTTTCAAATAAATATCTAGGTCACTGTTACTATTTATAGAATTTAACTACAGGAAAGAATTCTTGTCCTCTCTCTCCCAAGTTTATGAAATGTTATGTCAGTTTTAAATTGATAACATGGAAAAAAATTGTTTCATTTTGATGAGAGAAATCAATCATAGGCAAACTTTAAAGGTTAAAATTCTTTAATGAAATGATAAGTTCATTGTTATAGAAAGCACTTTCTAGACACTACACAGAGAATGTTAATGTATTTTGAAATTCAACATTTTTGTATCTCAGCTTTTGTCTATATATTTTTACAGCTAAATGTCACTGATCTGTTTATTTAACCTTATTCATGGTTGAAAGAGCAGCAGATATATCCAGCTTTTTATAATGTATCTAGTGTTCAAATCAGTTTCCAGGTTGTGGTTGATGTCCATTTGATCCTTACACATGTTATAATCATGTCAATGATTTTGTAGATATTAGAATGAAGGCATACTGTATTTTTTTTTGTTTGTTCTATATTTGAATAATCATGATGAAATCTAAAACCTAAGTAGTGGTCAGTATCAGCATTTAATGTCCAGGCAGTGGTCAGTATCTACAGTTAGTGTCCAAGTAGTGGTCAGTATCTACAGTTAGTGTGCAGGCAGCAGTCAGTATCAGCATTTAATGTCCAGGTAGTGGTCAGTATCTACAGTTAGTGTCCAAGTAGTGGTCAGTATTAGCATTTAATGTCCAGGCAGCAGTCAGTATCTACAGTGTAGTGTCCAAGTAGTGGTCAGTATCAACACTTAATGTACAGGCAGTGGTCAGTATCAACAGTTAGTGTCCAAGTAGTGGTCAGTATCAACATTTAATGTCCAGGCAGCAGTCAGTATCTACAGTTAGTGTCCAAGTGGTGGTCAGTATCAGCATTTAATGTCCAGGCAGCAGTCAGTATCTACAGTTAGTGTCCAAGTAGTGGTCAGTATCAACATTTAATGTCCAGGCAGCAGTCAGTATCTACAGTGTAGTGTCCAAGTAGTGGTCAGTGTCTAGAGATAGTGTCCAAGTAGTGGTCAGTATCAACACTTAATGTACAGGCAGTGGTCAGTATCAACAGTTAGTGTCCAAGTAGTGGTCAGTATCTACATTTAGTGTACAGGCAGTGGTCTGTATCTACAGTTAGTGTCCAAGTAGTGGTCAGTGTCTAGAGTTAGTGTCCAAGTAGTGGTCAGTATCAACACTTAATGTACAGGCAGAGGTCAGTATCTACAGTGTAGTGTCAAAGTAGTGGTCAGGCTCTACAGTGCAGTGTCCAAGTAGTGGTCAGTATTTATAATTTGTGTATATACACGCTATAACCTACATAATGTATGTTCCTGTCCCTATGGACATCTTCTTTAACCTCTCTAGCACAAAAAATTCTATATTTATCCAGTACTAAGTACACGTCTAATAATAAGCCCATTCACATCTAACAGAGTTTCAGGTCAACACGTACTGTAAATTATCATTGTCCTGTAATTCTCCCTTTTGTGTCAGAGATCATGTCTTCAACTCTTGGTGCCAGACCTTTTGTAGAATAAATACTTTATGATGAAAAAGATCAAGGAACCAGTGGTCTTTTGTGTATCAAAGCAAAATCACATAACTAGCTTTTATGTTGTGTGGTCTGATATAAAAAATTTCAGGAAAAATTATAGCAATTTCTGTGTTTTTCTATTGATATAAATATCATTATGATGGTCACGTTTGCTGTGAGTGGTGATTATGCTAGTATATTGGTATATATATTAATTGTGTAATTATTGGCTGTACATCGTGTACTTGTTAAACTATTTAGAGACAAAGGTCTTTGTGTTGTGCAATATCAGGCGTCCCAACAGCTGTTTCTATTATGTCGTGTGCAATCTGTGATTGAAATCAGTCAAGTGTGAACTAAAGTGTTTTCTTTGTGTATTTCAGAATGGACCGTGGAGATGATTCGCTGATGATGACTGGATCACCGTTGTTCGTGTGTCCTGATCGATTGATAAACAGGGACACGGCTAGAGTTATAAGGGTGTGCTGTGAGTTTCAGTGACAGAATCACCTAGTGCTAACAAGTACCTAGATGGATGGATGTTACCTGTGACAGGTATGGTGTTCATACAAGAATATGTCTACACAGTGTATCGGGTAAGATAATTAAATCACAGATTGATAGTTTGTTCTGTATGTCAGAGTGAATCTTAACTGATTCCACTTTTTCTTCAAATTGACATAACTGAAATAGGACTCCAATGATTTTGTGATATACAGTGAAACCTGATTTAAATGAAATATGACTTAAAGACAATTAGTAACATACAGTGAAACCTGATTTAAATGAAATATGACTTAAAGACAATTAGTTTCATACAGTGAAACCTGACTTCAATGAAATATGACTTTAAAGACAATTAGTAACATACAGTGAAACCTGACTTCAATGAAATATGACTTTAAAGACAATTAGTAACATACAGTGAAATCTGACTTCAATGAAATATGACTTTAAAGACAATTAGTAACATACAGTGAAACCTGACTTCAATGAAATATGACTTTAAAGACAATTAGTAACATACAGTGAAACCTGACTTCAATGAAATATGACTTCAAAGACAATTAGTAACATACAGTGAAACCTGACTTAATGAAATATGACTTTAAAGACAATTAGTAACATACAGTGAAACCTGACTTAATGAAATATGACTTTAAAGACAATTAGTAACATACAGTGAAACCTGACTTCAATGAAATATGACTTTAAAAACAATCAGTTACATACAGTGAAACCTGACTTCAATGAAATATGACTTTAAAGACAATTAGTAACATACAGTGAAACCTGACTTCAATGAAATATGACTTCAAAGACAATTAGTAACATACAGTGAAACCTGACTTAATGAAATATGACTTTAAAGACAATTAGTAACATACAGTGAAACCTGACTTAATGAAATATGACTTTAAAGACAATTAGTTTCATACAGTGAAACTTGACTTCAATGAAATATGACTTTAAAGACAATTAGTTTCATACAGTGAAACTTGACTTCAATGAAATATGACTTTAAAGACAATTAGTAACATACAGTGAAACCTGACTTCAATGAAATATGACTTTAAAGACAATTAGTAACATACAGTGAAACCTAACTCAATGAAATATGACTTTAAAGACAATCAGTTACATACAGTGAAACCTGACTTCAATGAAATATGACTTTAAAGACAATTAGTAACATACAGTGAAACCTGACTTCAAAGAAATATGACTTTAAAGACAATTAGTAACATACAGTGAAACCTGACTTCAATGAAATATGACTTTAAAGACAATTAGTAACATACAGTGAAATCTCACTTCAATGAAATATGACTTTAAAGACAATTAGTAACATACAGTGAAACCTGACTTAATGAAATATGACTTTAAAGACAATCAGTTACATACAGTGAAACCTGACTTAATGAAATATGACTTTAAAGACAATTAGTAACATACAGTGAAACCTGACTTAATGAAATATGACTTTAAAGACAATTAGTAACATACAGTGAAACCTGACTTCAATGAAATATGACTTCAAAGACAATTAGTAACATACAGTGAAACCTGACTTAATGAAATATGACTTTAAAGACAATTAGTAACATACAGTGAAACCTGACTTAATGAAATATGACTTTAAAGACAATTAGTAACATACAGTGAAACTGACTTAATGAAATATGACTTTAAAGACAATTAGTAACATACAGTGAAACCTGACTTCAATGAAATATGACTTTAAAGACAATTAGTAACATACAGTGAAACCTGACTTCAATGAAATATGACTTTAAAGACAATCAGTTACATACAGTGAAACCTGATTTAAATGAAATATGACTTAAAGACAATTAGTTTCATACAGTGAAACCTGACTTAATGAAATATGACTTTAAAGACAATTAGTAACATACAGTGAAATCTGAATTAGATAATTTTTCAGTGTCTTTTTTATATAAGTTTACTGATACGGTAAGTTATGGTTCTGGATGATTAAATCCGTGTTTAGGAAATGCACGGTATTATCTTCAGAATCAGTTATCTAATATGTTTAGGAAGTGCACGGTATTATCTTCAGAATCAATTATCTAATATGTTTAGGAAGTGCACGGTATTATCTTCAGAATCAATTATCTAATATGTAAGAAAGACTTTGGTTTCTCTATCGTGACCATATAGAACATTCATGTGATATGCTCTGATGACTTTACCTCTGTCAAGTAGGTGACTAGTGATGTGTGAAATATGAAGGTGTAATGGGGATTGGATGGTTATGATGTAAAAACAAGGAGAAGATAGATAAACTTGTGTGTTATTTCTTACGTTGTAATACTGATATAAATACTCTAACTTTAAGCATATTCTCCAACCTTAAGATTATACATTTTAAGTGATGTCAGTTTTACCCAAAGGAACGTAACTGGTGATTTTATATCTTACTCTGTCGATATGGCCAGTAGCAGGTTTTTTCGGCAGACTTTCACTTTGTTGGAGATGTGCCATATCTAGGGTAGCACCAAAAAGTATTTGATATAGTACACAAACACCATAGGTAAACAAACAACAGGCAAGCTAATTAATGATTTAGTAAACAGGTACAAAAACCCTGTAGGTGTAAATGAAATATCTTCTAAGGCCTGATTGCCTTGCAGTTGCTATAAGCTGTCTGGGGTCAGTTACAGATGGTCAGTAGACTGATGAACATCAATCACAAGGGTCAGTATGTAACAGACAGAAAGACATCAGTCACTGGTGTAAGTGTGTTACAGACAGATGGACATCAGTCACAAAGGTCAGTATGTTACAATCAGATGTCAGTCACAAGGGTCAGTATGTTACAATCAGATATCAGTCACAAGGGTCAGTATGTTACAATCAGATGTCAGTCACAAGGGTCAGTATGTTACAATCAGATGTCAGTCACAAGGGTCAGAATGTTACAGACAGATGGACATCAGTCACAAGGGTCAGTATGTTACAGACAGATGGACATCAGTCACAAGGGTCAGTATGTTACAGACAGATGTCAGTCACATTGGTCAGTATGTTACAGACAGATGGACATCAATCACAACGGTCAGTATGTTAGAGACAGATGTCAGTCACAAGGGTCAGTATGTTACAGACAGATGACATCAGTCACAAGGGTCAGTATGTTTCAGACAGATGAACATCAGTCACAACGGTCAGTATGTTAGAGACAGATGTCAGTCACAACGGTCAGTATGTTACAGACAGATGACATCAGTCACAAGGGTCAGTATGTTACAGATAGATGGACATCAGTCACAAGGGTCAGTATGTTACGGACAGATGGACATCAGTCACAAGGGTCAGTATGTTACAGACAGATGTCAGTCACAAGGGTCAGTATGTTACAGACAGATGGACATCAGTCACAACGGTCAGTATGTTACAGACAGATATCAGTCACAAGGGTCAGTATGTTACAATCTGATGTCATTATCGACAGATGGACATCTGTCACAAGGTTAAAAAGTTAAATACTTATTGACATCAGCCAGAGGAGTCAAGTGGTTACAGACAGATGGACATCAGACACAGTGGTCAGTAAGTTACAGACAGGCAGACATCAGTTCCAGGGCCTGTAAGTTTGAGATAGACACAGTGAAAAGGATGAGAGAGTAACAGACGTATGGACATCAGATATAGGGTTACAGATGGATAGACAGAGCACTTAAATACTTACATAATATGTGATTGTCAACAAATTCTTTCCCATCTCCACACAAGCTTTCTACTGTGGAGGAGAGTGTCATTATACTAGAATTAATTAATTCTCACATCTCCACACAAGCTTTCTACTGGGGAGGAGAGTGTCATTATACTAGGAATTAATTCTCACATCTCCACACAAGCTTTCTACTGTGGAGGAGAGTGTCATTATACTAGAATTAATTAATTCTCACATCTCCACACAAGCTTTCTACTGTGGAGGAGAGTGTCATTATACTAGAATTAATTAATTCTCACATCTCCACACAAGCTTTCTACTGTGGAGGAGAGTGTCATTATACTAGAATTAATTAATTCTCACATCTCCACACAAGCTTTCCTACTGTGGAGGAGAGTGTCATTATACTAGAATTAATTCTCACATCTCCACACAAGCTTTCTACTGTGGAGGAGAGTGTCATTATACTAGAATTAATTCTCACATCTCCACACAAGCTTTCTACTGTGGAGGAGAGTGTCACAAGAATTAATTCTCACATCTCCACACAAGCTTTCTACTGTGGAGGAGAGTGTCATTATACTAGAATTAATTAATTCTCACATCTCCACACAAGCTTTCTACTGTGGAGGAGAGTGTCATTATACTAGAATTAATTCTCACATCTCCACACAAGCTTTCTACTGTGGAGGAGAGTGTCATTATACTAGAATTAATTAATTCTCACATCTCCACACAAGCTTTCTACTGTGGAGGAGAGTGTCATTATACTAGAATTAATTCTCACATCTCCACACAAGCTTTCTACTGTGGAGGAGAGTGTCATTATACTGGAATTGATTAATTCTCACATCTCCACACAAGCTTTCTACTGTGGAGGAGAGTGTCATTATACTGGAATTGATTAATTCTCACATCTCCACACAAGCTTTCTACTGGGGAGGAGAGTGTCATTATACTGGAATTAATTCTCACATCTCCACACAAGCTTTCTACTGGGGAGAAGAGTGTCATTATACTGGAATTAATTCTCACATCTCCACACAAGCTTTCTACTTGGGAGAAGAGTGTCATTATACTGGAATTAATTCTCACATCTCCACACAAGCTTTCTACTGGGGAGAAGAGTGTCATTATACTGGAATTGATTAATTCTCACATCTCCACACAAGCTTTCTACTGGGAGTGAGAATTAATTAATTCTCACATCTCCACACAAGAGAGTGTCATTATACTAGAATTAATTAATTCTCACATCTCCACACAAGCTTTCTACTGTGGAGGAGAGTGTCATTATACTAGAATTAATTAATTCTCACATCTCCACACAAGCTTTCTACTGGGGAGGAGAGTGTCA